CATCCCCCTGAGTCCCCGCCTCTATGAGTCCCCGCTCCTATGAGTTCTCGTTGCTGTGACTCCGACACACTTGTCCCCGCCGCAAGTCCCCGTCACTTTTATCCCCGGCCTGAATCAGCCCCCGGCGCGTGTCCCCGCCGCGTGTCCCCGACCTTTTTTTCTCAGCCTCGTTTTCCCGATACATTTGTCCCCACCGCTTTTGTGAATCGCATTTGTCCCCACCACATTTGTCTCTGCTTCATTTCATCGACACATTTGTCCTCGCACGTATCCCGACACATTTGTCCCATTTGTTCCCGTGTTGTGGAGCGTGACGTGACGTGACGGGTGCGCAGGCAAGCTGCATCTGGTGGACGAGATGTGCGTGCTGGCATTCAGCGACGACCTGGAGTACTGGGGCGTGGACGAGCTGTACCTGGAGTCGTGCTGCCAGCACAAATACCACCAGCGCAAAGAGCACGTGCACGAGGAGATGCGCAAGGAGGCGGAGTCGCTGCGCCAGCGCGAGGAGGAGGAGTTCGGCGACGGCAAGTGCGCGCAGTACCAGAAGTTCCTGTGGGACCTCCTCGAGAAGCCCACCACGTCCATCGCCGCGCGGGTGAGTGCCCGCGCACGTGAGTACCCGCGACGCCCTCCCCCCGGCGACAGCCAATCGCGTTCCATCGAATACGCCGACCGTTTGCCCCTCAAGATGTGGTTTCTTTTCACTACGGTGTTTTAATAGCTACAAATTCTTTAGGGTTTACTTCAATTCGTCTTTTGTTTTATTCCAATCGTTCGCCGCCGGAGTTGCCTGTACTTTCCGTGTTATTGTTAACAAACTGTGTTCATTGCAAATAGCCGCAAATCGTTGCTCGGTAATTTTGGTTGTTCAAAGCGGCTCTGACGTCTGTAAGCTGTAAGTTAACTAACGGTGTTATGACTGTACTAAATGAATGGTTGGATAAAATTCTTTAGTGACTCGAAAACTGCTATTTGGTATTTTCAGTGCGAAAATAATCCAATTAAAAAAAGAAACATACGATTAAAATAATACAATAAGGAAACTGAAGACGTGATTTAATCAATCCACAGATATATTTTGTAAAGTATCGACTACGAAAAAATGTTAAAGTAGTAATTTAAAATGCAAGCCGTTCTAAACGTTGCTGTAATTCGCAGCTCGCGGCATGTGGAGAAAGCCTTGCTATTGAAGGGGGACGGCGCGCGGCCCACCGCGTTCCTGCCCCAGTCGTCCACGGCCGGCCACTTCGCACGCGCGAAAGAATGCCCCTCCAAACGACTCTTCAGACGTTTCTGCACATGGAATCGCGCTGGACGAAATAATATACTCATATGACTTGGAATGTCTTCTCCGGAGAGAGGAAGGCAAAATGAAATACTTTTCCTTTTACAAAAAATAAGATGTTGCCAGTTTTATTTGGTATATCGTTTACCTTTTGGTATTCTTCCCTTTTCGTGTTCTTTTTTTTTTAAAAAATTTGCCAAATAAAACGGTTCAGTCATGACATTAATTTTCTTCCGGAAGCGTAATGCTTCCGTGAGTATTTTCGCAAGTTTCGTGTATTTACGCGCCGAGCTAACGCTTCGGCAGAGGTACTAACCGGAACGGCATCTCTACGTCTCTCCCCCCCCCCACACCCCCACTCGGCAAAAGCTCATTTCTCACGACTCGGGAAGGAAAAGACAATATTATTGTACGCTCGCTCTGAGTTAACACTACATCCCCTGAACATGAATTTCCTATTGCTAATGAAATACGTCAACTGCACACTCGGAATAACGCCCACTCCCGCGCCGCCCCCTGGCGTTGTTGCGCAGCCACCGCCTCTGCGGCGGCCAACGAAACTAAATACGATGTGCGGATCGTATGTGCGGAAGGATCTGGGCAAAATAAATTCGGGAGAGATTGAAACAATCGCCGACTGGTGAGGTTGCATTGTTTCTGGACAGTTGGTCAGGCCGCGCACGTCTTTACTAATTGAAAGAAAACGAGCCTGTTATTATACTTTCAGTTTAAGTAAATTTCTTACGATTTCAACTTTAAATCAGAGTTTGTTTGACAATAAATTTTAACACAGAAATTGTTACAAGTTTATACGGATAGAATTTTTTATTTCATTCTACATTTTTGGCGCATATGGTGATCGCTATTAATACCTTGTAATGTGTTTTATATACTTTGTATAACTCACGATGCTATTTAATTTAATGCTACTTTAATTTTTGTATATAATGGCTCTAGAATTACTCTTACTTTCTTCTACGTTATTGCGTATTTTGCCCAGATTATACTAGACATATGTGTAACCAAGCCAAACATTTCTTCCACCAATAACTATCAAGATAGAATACAGTTTCCAATTTAGGACCACATGTCCTAATTTCATATCGTAAAATGACGACATTCATATAGCCTTATATGCAATTACAACAAAATTAAGCTAAAGTCGGGAGTCATGTGGTGAGTGACAGCACCTTTTTCTTTAACTCTGAAGTTATGAGATAATGTCATTGAACACTCTCTAAGGCTAAAACTCTTGAACATGAAGTTACATTTTATGCCAACCAGAAGAGCAGTATATATCGCGTGCTGTTTTTTGAAATTCCTAAATTTTAAATTTCACTGTGAATTTGATAACAAACGTTAATAGTATATTCCTCTCAAGTAATAACCTTACTTTAGTTTTTCGTACGCCAAGAAAATATTAATCACAAACAATGCTGAGTTTACTCGACCATTGATCTGGGCAGCAAATCGCTGGAGTAAAAGGTTATCAGATAAGGTTTTTGAAAGTTTCCGTAGTCCTATTTCAGCTTTATGCAGTGTCCCAGTTCTCACAGAAACTATCTACGCACCGTTTCATTTGTACACACTTTTTCATTCATCATTTTTATCCTTTTACCATTTATTTCAGCCTCCTCCTTCCTTCTATTAAGAGTTTATGAAAACAACGTGTCCTTAAAGAATCGATTTTCTTATCCTCAAGCTTTTTACGGGTGGTCATTCTTCGTCTACTCTCATGAGCTGTTTCACGATTTCCCTTGACCGGTAAATTCAATCCTCGACCTTTTCTTAGCATTATAAGACGTTGGAGAAACATCTGTTTCTGTGGAGACGGCATGGTTTTGACCCTTATTCTGTGCCACTCTGAGCGATACTGAAAACTTTTATTAAACAAACGATTATTTCGTTGAAAGTTACTCTCTAAGCTAACCTTCTCATTTGTTAGTACATTTGTTTTTCGTAACCTAGCTTAAATATATACGTGTTTGTTATTAAAATGTAATCATCGTTGAAAAATTGTAGTCATGGTAATACCACTCCTCTTGAATATGTATTTTCGTCAACATTGTTTTCCCCACGAAAAGAAAAGTTTAAAACCTTCATTTAAAAGAACTTACAAATTTTGAAAGTAGACTGTAGAGTCACCATGCCTTTTTATCAAAAAGCTTCGTCTAGCGTTCATTTCCTTTTTATTTTAAAATTGTTATGGAATAACATATGCATTTTCGTGAACATGTTTCTGAATCAATAGTATACTACAATAAATGTTTTTTTTTATATTTTTCTGAGTAACGAATTCCTAAACACGCGGCCTTTGATCATTTTATAACAACTGTAAATATTTCTAGGTAGTTTATTTCTGGGAAGTAAAAATAACCCCTGCAATGGAGAACTGTAAGACCGCCATAAGCTCTTTCGCTTGTGCTCTCAAAAGGCTTTCGGGAAGCGCGGTGGCGGATTTGAGCCGGACGGCCTCATCG